AGAGTGTGAACTGCCATCTGGAGGCACTTTTAGCTTCAAGAAAGGCTAAGAGACAATAAAACAAAGACTTCAACCTGTTGATCTATTCATCACTCATTAACAAACACTTACTGAGAACTTAGTAAGATGGTGGGCTTTGTGCAACACGCTGGGAAGAGGGCAGAGAATGAAAAAGATAGAGATCCTGTCTTCATGGAGTTTCTACGCTTTTTCTTTGGCTTTACATTTTATTTATTTTTAATTTTTTTCAACTGTGGTAAAAAAGACATAACATAAAATTTACTATCTTAACCATTTTTCTTAGGTGGTATGCATTTTATTACTATTATTTTTTTATTGAAGGATAGTCGTTTTACAAGGTTGTGTCAGTTTCTGGTGTATAGCATAATGTTTCAGTCATACATATACATAGTTAAATTCCTCTTCATATTCTTTTTCATTATAGGTTACTACAAGATATTGAATATAGTTTCCTGTGCTATACAGGAGAAACTTGCTGTTTATCTCTGTTATATACAGCAGCTAGTATCTGCTAACCATTTTTAAGTGCGCAGCTCAGTGGCAGCAAGTACACTCACACTGCTGTGCTACCGTCGCCACCATCCGTCTCCAGAACTCTTCTCATCTTGTAAGACTGAAACTCTGGACGCATTAAAGAGCGATACCTCCACTCCCCTCTCCACCGAACCCCTGGAACCCACCATTCTACTTTCTGTCTCTATGATTTTGACTACTCGAGGTACCGCATATAAGTGGAATCACACAGTATTTGTCATTTTTGGTGACTAGCTCATTTCATTTCCCATACTGCCCTCCAGGTTTATCCCTGTTGCAGCATGTGTCAGAATCTCCTTTACTTTTTAAGGCTGAATAATATTGCACTGTGTATATGTACCACATTTTGTTCATCCATTCCTCTGTCAACGAACACTTGGGTTGCTTGCACCTTTTGGCTATTGTGAATATTGCAGTTCATGTCCCTGCTTTCAGTTCCTTTGGGTATACATCCAGGTATGAAATTGCTGGATCACGTGATAATTCTATTTTTAATTTTTTGAGGACCTGCCATACTGTTTTCTACGGAGGCTGCACCATTTTACATTGCTATCAGCAGTGCACAAGGGTTCCAATTTCTTCACAACCTTATCAATAGTTGTTATTTTCCTTCCTTCCTCCCTGAAGCCATTCTAACGGGTATGATCTATGGTTCTTTGGACCTCTTTATGCTTTATTGCAGAATGTCCTGATCTGTGGGAGATCCTATAACCTCTGGTGTGTGTGTGTGTGTGTGTGTGTACACCAGTCTTTTGGGAATAATTTTACTATTACATACTACCAAGGGTATGTAGCCATGAAAAAAACCCCTAACTCCACCAGTAGGAAGGGCTCTGTGGGTGCCGTATATCTTAGAATAAGAGGGAGGTGGTGCAGATGCTAAAACCTAAGAGGCCAGCTTTTGAGGGGATATGGTACTACTTAGAAAGTAGGGCTTCCCTGGGGAAATTCCTACGAGTCATAAGAGGAGGAGACACTGGTCCACCACTGCCAACAAGACCCACTAAAGGAGAGGGAGCAGATGGCAAAGTGGATTGATGCAGTGATATTTTAGAACAGGGATCAGAAAGGTGGGCAGGATGTGGTAATAACAAAATCATATAATAATTCACATTACTCTAGCACTTTAATGTTTCTAACATTTTCACTTGTATTCATCTATTTACACCCATGCCTTTGGCTATACGTGCACATTTCCCAGCAGAGTGAAAAGGGGAGAAACTGAGTAAGTAGCTTTGCTCCTTTGAGATCTGAACATACAAACCTCACAGAATGCGGAAGCTGGAAGGGGCCTTAGAGATCACGTAATCCAGTCCTCACTTCATAGACGAGGGAGCGAAGAAGTGGCCTTTGGGAAGGGGCAGGGGGATCCTACTCTCTTCTCCCGTAAGTAAGTACAAATCGTCTAGGAAATGCTGGAGTTAGAAACCAAAGAAATGTGTCTGTGGTAACACTGACTCCATTGCCAGTCCTAATTTATGCTCTGGATTGACTCTTCTGATTTTATTCCACAAAATCCTCTAGAGCATATTCATAGAACAGATTCTGTGAATGTGACTTGCAGACTTGGTGTCCTATAAATGCGTATTTTCTTGTAGCTGGATTGAATTCCCCCCCACCAATTAATTGCACAGAAAAGGAAATGGGCTTGTGTCAGCAACCTATAAAGGAGCTGGATCCCACAAGTAGCTCCCCTTTTTTCTAATTCTGCCACACAGTGGATTGAAATGGATATAAAAATTGGGCAGAAAAGGCCCACAGTGATGCCCACGTGTGAGGAGGGGGGTGTGGCATGTTGCTGCCCGCAGGCAGACAGTAGACAATGCCCTGTTTTGTGGACCAACAGTGGATGTGGTGCTATGTCAATGCCGGGGCCTGACAATACCCCTCGTTACACACAGGAGTCAGAGCAAGAGTTCCCAAGCTGGCAGGGAAGGCCAACAGGAAGGCCTGGAATGGCTTCAAGAAGGGGAGAAAGAGCACCAGGCGACCGGAAAGCACCCCGACAGCAGCAAAGGGTCTCAGTAAGTCCATCAGTTAACTGGTGGGAAACTGAGTCCAAGAAAACAAAAGACCGTACAATCTATGAGCGACAAGACTAGGACGGTGGTCTATTCTGATTTCCATGCCCTAGTTCTCACACTGGAGAAAATTTTCACCTGTGCTGGCACTTTGCTGGAGACACTTTAGGGAAGATAGCAAAAATCCTAGCAGGTTATACCAGGAACCCTGTTGCAAGCAGCACTACGGCCGGGTCACACGGGAATGTAGTTCTCCAGCTCCCATTCTGATGCCAAGACCAAATACAGCTTAGTGAGTGAAGGGGCGCATGGCTTTTCGTTTGTAGATGGAACTTAGTGGGTGAGGACAGCTTACAACCATTGTAATGCGGGCAGCATAATTCAGCACATCCCTGGTTGCTGTACTGAGCTCTGCAGTGCACTGACTTACTCAGAAGTTTTAAAAACCATTCCTGCCTCCTCTCTATTCCCTTCTGGCCACTCTGAGGGATTCTGATACAACTGACCCCTGGTTAAGAACCACTGCTCTAGCGAGCCAGTTACTGACTGGGATGTGTGATCGCCCTAGGTGTGCTGGGGCAGAGAGAAGTTTAAACCACTGGCGTGGCTCCACAGTAACTAACTGTAGGTCTGTGATCCTCTTACACAGCTGATCAAATCATTTCCTGGCACTTCTAGAACAATTCTTCTAGACCAATAGAAATGCAATGCAAATTACACATGCAACTTTGAATTTTCTATTAAGCACGTTAAAAAAGGAAAAAGAAACTGACGAAATTAATATCAATGTATTTAAGCTCAGTATATCCAAAGTATTGCCATTTCCACAAGTAATAAATCTGTTTTATATTTTTCATTCTAAGTTTTCAAAATCTGATGTGCATTTTACACTTTCAGCACAGCTCAATCCACATTAGCCACATTTCAAGTGCTCAAGAGTCACACAGGGCTAGCGGCTACCATACTGGACATATGACTACCCTTTCCTCTCTCACTGACATATTTTACTCCAGTAGAAATAGAAAATTCTCCATCCTATGGCCATTCCTACCTATCTCAGGGCACTTTCCTTTCCAAGTCTAATGATCCTATCTGGTCTTTACTCCATCCCAGCTCTCCTCCAATTGTCCATTCAGTCATAAGTAGTCATTACTGAGCACCGACCGAGTGCTGGGTGTTTGTGTTAACTTAAGAGGATGTGAAGATAAATCCGACACAGACTCTGACTTCCAGGAGCTCTCAGCAAATTCATCAAATTCTCTTGTATGTTGTGAATGCTCTACAGAGATACATATGAAGGGTGCACAGAAGAAGGAAGGAGAGCTTCTTCTGGGGCTTCTGGAGAACACTCACAGAGATAGGGCACTTGGGCTGGGTTTTAAGGGATGAGGAAAATTGTGGCGAGGCCGGGAAAGGTGTTTCAGGCATCAGGAAAAGCATATTTAAGACATAAGTATGATGATCTGCGTGCTTGGGAATGACAAGTGTCTAGCAGGGCAAGAAGACGGTAGGGAGGGCCTGGAGTGAGGCTGGCAGGGTGAGCTGGGCCTCGAATGCCCGATGACACATTCAGGATTACTGTGGGCTCCTTCTCTGGGTGGGGAAATCATAAGGCCATAAGCAAAGATTGGAGAGGACAAAAGAATAAGAAGACCATCAACCATGGGGTAGCAGCATGTCTGGAAAGAAGGGGCTGTGAGCACCCAGGTGAACGGAGGGAGTGTGAGGAATTATTTTCTGAAGACAGAATGTGTCTCACGACGAAGCATTAGGATGGAACGTGGGCAAAGGGCCTAATAGGTAAGGATTTTCAGGGCCTAAGTCACGCTGTAGGGGCATTAGGGCCCCCGTGTGGTATTCACACAGGACTATTACAACCCGTGGGATATGACAGCACCAAATAGTCTCTTTTCCTGCCGGATGTAACAGGGTTCCCTAGGGGTTAATTTAGGCAGGAGGCAGAATCAAGCTAAGTTTCGGGATTGTCAGGGAAGTCATGGGTTTATGAGACCCAGAAGGTCTGGGCAGCACCTGGCCAGCCTGATCAGATGATGTGCTTGCTTATCTGACCTTGAGTTTTCTGGAAGGAGGCTCTGACACTCTCAGGTAGGGACAGGGCAATAACAACACAACATTTACAGTAAGAAGGAGCCTCTGAGATCCCATGGGTTCTCCTTTTATAGATGGGAAAGCTGAGGCACGGAGAGGGAAATGCTTCTAAGGTGACAGAGCTAATAAGTGGCATTCACTCTGTGGCACCAAAGCCACAGTGAGACTGGTACAACAGGCACCATGGAGAACCGTCTGCCTGTATAGGAAACTCACGTGGAAAAAGACAACATTAGGCTAGAGACACCCTAGGTAATACAATTGTCTTTGTGAGCCAGAGAGATTTAATTTAGTAGCAATAAACAAGGTACTCACACGGCGAAACGTCTACAAAGTTTGGGTCGATATTATGCAGCAGCTCCATTCTGGGGGACGGGCTTCCTTCACTAGGAAAAAAAAATTAGGAAATGTTAATTTCCTTTCTCAAATGGGTATGAATGATTTTAATACCTCCTTTCCTTGTACTTACAGGAAATGACAAGTGAGCCACTTAACAACTTTGTCAGGAATTCAGAGGTCTCCGAAATCTCTGGCTGGTGCATTTTAAGTAGTCATCAGTTGTCTACATTATCACCACGACTGAACATCCACATAACAACTCCAGTGTCAGTTTTTTAAAAATTGAGTCCTGCGGCCCTTCACAATAAATAATGTGGCTACATTTGAAGAGGACCACTCATTACAGCAGTGAAATGGGAACTCAAGTCATCCAGCATAGACTTTACACAGAACCCTCATAGGGAAATGAAGAAAGAGCGTCTGCTAAGACGCCAGCGCCAGTATCACAGATGCAACATGCCTTTTAAATATTAGCCTGGATGAGAAAAATGAATGCCTTCCATATCTAAATTTACTAGGTGAAACTTAATATGTAATACAAACACATGTTAAGAAGTTCTATCTTATTAGATTTTTTACAAAGTACACGAACAAATACAACCACAACCTATGTTAGTGTTGAAAAGAAACCTGGAGCTCACTTAGTCCAATGCCCTCATGTTACAGATGAGAAAGGCACATAGTAAGTTATCGGCCAAAAACTGGGCTGTGGGTGTTCTTTAAAAATGGGGAGCATAAACACCATGAGATGTATGCGGGACGTGCATGAAACACCCAGGTCACCTTGGTACTACAGACTCAGTCTTATGGAAGAAGTTATTACACATAACTGCTATCATTTTTGCTTGGATCACTGTAGTTTGGTAGCATAGTCTGAAGTCAGGGAGCGTGATTCCTCTAGCTCTGTTCTTCTTTCTCAAGATTGTTTTGACTATTCAGAGTATTTTGTGTTTCTACACAAATTTAAAAATTTTGTGTTCTAGTTCTGTGAAAAATGCCATTGGTAATTTGATAGGGATTGCATTGAATCTCTAGGTTGCCTTGGGTAGTATGGTCATTTTAACAATATTTATTCTTCCACTCCAAGGACACAGTATCGCTTTCCATCTGTTTGTGTCATCTTCCGTTTTTTTCATCAGCGTCTTGTACTTTGAAAGAGCAAGTCTTTTGCCTCCTTAGGTAGGTTTATTCCCACGTGTTTTATTCTTTTTGATGAGATGGTAAATGGAATTGTTTCCTTGAATTCTCTTTCTTATGTTAAGATATTTTAAAGCAGTACATAACTTGTGAAAATTTCTATGTTCCCACAAAAACATTTAAAAGTATAACAAGGAGAAAACTCAGATCTCAGATTTACAGAGCAGGATCACTGGAAGTGGAACCCAGGCATCAGTATGGGTTTCTTTGAACTCCCAGATGATCCCAACATTCCCGCAGACAAGACCGCAAACCACTGATCTGAGGCAGTGCTTCTCAAACTTCATATCACTTGGGGAACTTGTTAAACTATGAAGTCTCAAATATTAGAGCCAGAGGTTGCGGGAGCCCAGGAATCTACATTTTTAACAGGTTCCCAGGTGATACGTTGTTGTTCCTGGTCTGAGGACCACACTTTGATTAGCAAGATTGGGAGAAATCTCCTCGAGTCCTCTTACCTGGGATCTGAACTCTTCTGGAGTTTCCTAAATTAGAAATTCATTTGGATTAGAGCTGATTCTAGAGCAGTAAGTCTCAATCTTGGCTACATAATGCAATCACCTGGGGAGCTTTAAAAAATACTAATGCTTGACTTACACCACAAGAGAGTGATCTCATTGATCTGGGGTTCAGCCTGGGCAAAAAGATTTATAAAAGTACCCAAGCTGATTTTTTTTAAATTAAATTAAACAAATTAGCTTTCAAATTTACAAACCATAACAATTCACAATGTTTTCAAGGTACATCCATATTGTAGCATGTATCAGTACTTTCTTCCTTTATATGCTGAATAACATTTCATTGTATGGAGAGAACACATTTTCTTTATCTACTCATCATTTGATGGACATTTGAGTTGTTTCCACTTTTTTCACTATTTTGAACAATGCTGTTACGTTTATTCATGCGTTAAGTTTTTGTATGGACATTTGTTTTCATTTCTCTTGGGTACATACCTAGGAGTGGATGCACTACATCACATGGTAACTCTATACTGAACCTGTTAAGGACCTGCTAATCTGTTTTCCAAAGCAGCTGCACCATTATACACTCTTACCAGCCATGCATGAGCATTCCAATTTCTCCACATCCTCTCATTAATGACACTGATTAATGTCTGTCTTTTTGATTACAGCCATCCTTGTTGGTATGAAGTGATACCTCCTTGTGGTTTTGATTTATATTTTCCTTTTCATGTGCATATTGACCATTTGTATAGTTTCTCTGGAGAAATGTCTATTCAGATCCTTTGCTCATTTTTAAATTGAGCTATTTGTCTTTTTTATGATTGAGTTGCAAGAATTCTTAATATATTCTGGATGTGAGTTCCATATCAAATACACAATTTGTTAATATTTTCTCCAATTCTGCAGGTTGTTTTTTTGTTTTTTTGATGGTATCGTTTGCAGAACAAAAGTTAAAAATTTTGATGTAGTACAACTTAATTATTTTTTCTTTCACTGCTTTTGGTATTTTAATCTAAGAAACTACCGCCTAATCTAATCATAGAGATTTACTCCTAAGTTTTCTTCTAAGATTGTTACAGTTTTAGCTCTTATATCTATGTCTATGATCCATTTTAAATTAATCTTTGTGTATTCTGTAAGGTAGGGATCCCATTTCTTTCTTTTGCCTGTGAATATCTAGTTATCCCACTAACGTTATTGAAAAAATCATTCTTGCCCAGTTGAACTATCTCGGCATCCTTTAAAAAACGCAGCTGATTCTAACACGCAGCTTAAGAGGAAAACCACTAACCTCAAGCCTTGCTGTATGATGTTACCACATTTGATTATATGTTCTACATTCTTGATTTTTTTTCTGTAGAGCAAAAGATGGGTGTCTAGCTTTTAGGGTGTTGATGTAATGAGCCCACATATAATGATAATGGCTTCCCCTTGAAAGGAAGTCTTAGTTTCTCAGCATATACCTTAAGAAATCTATCGATAACTTCCTACAATCAGTCCCTTTATATGCCCCAGTTAGGGATAGAAGTATCTTAAACACAAATTTTTAGCATATGATACAATTTCTTCCTTAAAGTTGTGTATACCAAAGTGAGCTGGAGGGGAAAAAAAAAGTATTTTGTATACTTATAACACAGTTTTCAGCAATATCACTGTGTGATCATTACAATCCTGTTGAATAAATAATGGCCTCATCAAACTCATAAAATGTTTACAAGATTGATCATTGCTATATTATAACATGTGTTAACTTTTACCTTCTACATGTATCTATTATTTATAGGTAATGCTTCAATTATTGTGGTATTTCACGATTCTTTTGTACATCATACTTCTCCAAAGTTTCATTTCCATACAACCAAAGCACTAGGAATTGGACAACGTCAATTACTTCAATAGTTTATGGTCTTCCTTGCACCAATTCTGAGGGCCTCACTCTCTCGTGGGCAGCCCTGCGCTGTCTTTAAGAGCGTGGCCTTTCAGGGTTTGCATCTCAACTCCACAAGGTTATATAAACTGGAGCCTTCCTTGTTCTTCTCACTAGCAGGAGGTGGATAAAAGTACCTATGTACAGGACTGTTTTGCTAATTATATGAGGAAACACATGTAAAGTGCTTGGAATGGAATAAGTGCTGAATAAGCCGATAGCTTAAAAACTTAGATACAGATACAAGAATAATATGTAGATACAATGGAACATGAGTATTTCTATCCATTTCTCTTGCTGGTAAGAGTTCCCCTTATGAAATACACTGGTGTAGCTATAACATTAATTTCTAAGACAAATTATGATATCCTCTTCCATGAGAGGGTCTCTTATTAGAAAAGTATCAGTGTCAAATATAGCTAAATCATAGTCCACTCATGAACTGCATATAAAAAACATAGACTGCAATCTGTTATCTAGGATTTCCCATTTTTTGGATTAAGCATGTGGTATAGTTTAGCTGTATAAGTGACATCATCTCTATTAGACTGTTGATTGCATTTGTAAAACTTAAATCTCTGAATAATGACCGATGATGTTCATGGAAAAGGACTTTTCAATAAGCACGCAAGTCCATGAAATGCCTTGGTTTTATTATGGCAAGAAAATGGGTGTTTTTATTAGGGCACATGTTTGGGCTGCAGGCTGAAAGGAACAAAGCAGAGCCCTCTAATCAGCTTCTTTAAGGCAGGCACCTAGCGGAGTGTTCCGAGGCCCTTCCTTCTGCACAGTGCTCACTGCCCACCCCAGCACGCATTAATGGTCATGGCAGTAAGAACAAAGAGTTACGCAAAGAAAAAGAACTGTAACATGTTCACACTGGCCACTTAATGCAGAGATCTACCTTTAAACCAGTGAAATGGGCATGTTCCATGCACATTCATAACAACCAAGCTGGAATTAATTGTGGGCAGCAGGGGAGTTGTTTGTTTTGGCCAGACTAGTTTGAATGATAGTAGCTGGAATCTATGCAACATTTATTATGCGCCATATACCATTTCAAATGCTTTGCATGTACCATCTCATTTAATCTTGGACATTATGATGTAGATACAACCTTGGCACAGGGCAGTTAAGTGACTGACTTACAAGATCACGTGGTTGAAAAGGTGACAGACTTGGGGTTAGACTCAGGCAAACTACTGAATTCCCCACTCCTAACCACTATGCTAAACTGTCTCCTCAGTCAAATGTAGACATGGCCTCAGTATCTTTCTGAATGTTTCCATTCATCCAGCTTATTTTTAAGGCTCCATTAACAAATACCTCTATTAACTTCAAATGCATCTATTAACAAAAGAGTTAATCATTTTTCGCAATCCTCTTCTCTTAAAGATGTATAAAATGGTATATAGTTAATTGTCTCTGATGACATTTCAGTATTCAATTTTAATTT